TACTCCAAAGCTACTCTTATCTTCTACCTGTCGTACAAACTTGCGTTGATAAGTGCATACCTGCGTTTCGGCTTTGATCACTTCCGCTGTTCTCGTTCGTTAGTGTCAATCCTTCGAGAGCAATTGGTGCGAGGACTAACTTCGAGTCCTATACGGTAAACTTCGAGATTCTTCCCAATCCTACTAACGTACCTGGCAAGCGAGCCGTCCAGGCAAGCGAGCCGTCCACCTCACCAACTTTCGCGACGCGTTAACTACTAAGTCTTATGGCTCGACCATCTCTACCTCAATTACCTTACCCTAAAGCAGATATACTCCTTACTATCTTAGCTATTAATTAAGGTTAATTTCAGACTAAAAGACGCGCTATACAAGCCTTTAACGTACGCCAATTAACGTTGCGCGACCAATACGCTGGAATTCGCTCACAACGCGATTACGAGCCAAATTTAAAGAAGCTCACTAAGCTAGAAGAGGAGGTGATTACTAGGCATATACTTGACCTAGATTCGCGAGGATTTACACTAACTCTAGGCGCTGTACAAGATATAGCGGATAAGCTGCTTGCTGAGCGTGGCGCTGGTCAGGTTGGCGAGAAGTGGCCTAGGAACTTTGTTAAGCGGACTCCTAGCCTTACTACGCGATTTAATCGACCCTATAATCGTCAGTGAGCCCTCTGCGAGGATTTAGAGACTATTAGCGCCTGGTTTAATCTAGTAACGCGTACAAAGGCGATGTATAGGATCTGCAACAAGGATATATATAACTTTAATAAGACAGGCTTTATAATAGGCAAGATATTAGCTTAGCTAGTAGTTACTAGCTCTAAGAGACTCGGCCGAGCAAAGGCAATTTAGCTAGGCAATCGCGAGTAGGTTATAGTAATCTAGGGCATCAATGCTGCTAGATAGGCAATCCCACCCTTTATTATCTTTGCTGGCTAGTACTACCTCTCTACCTAGTACTAGGAGGATATACCACGCGGTTAGTACATTGCACTAAGCAAAAATGGCTAGACTACTAATAAGCTAGGAGTTGTATAGCTAGAGCACTTTATTAAGTATATAAAGGATCGTCGAGTAGGCGCATAGTAGCTGCTAGTAATTAATGGCTATAAGAGCTATAACTTGCTTAAATTCCAGGAGCTCTATAAGGAGAACAAGATCTATACTCTCTACATACTATCGCATTTATTATATCTCCTACAGCCGCTTAATATTAGCTACTTCTTACTGTTAAAGCGCGCGTACAGGTATTAGGTTAGTAGCCTAATCTACGATTATATTAACTATATTACGAAGCTTAAGTTTCTACTAGCCTTCTGTGCTGCCTATAATTAGTCAATTATAAAGGAGAATATCTGCTCAAGCTTCTAAGGCGCTGGCTTAGTCCTATATAGTCTAGAGGCGGTGCTATTAAAGCTTAATATAAAGCTTCGTACGCCGATACTACCTGCGCTAGAGGTTACCCTATAGGAAGCTAAAACACCAAGTAACGCGCGTAAGCTAGAGGCTTAGTTAATATTAATTCGCGATCGCATTTAAAGGTATAAGAGCTTGTTACCTGCTTCTCTCCTTGTAGCTGTTAACTAGCTTAAAAAAGGTGCTAAGGTAATGCTATATTTAGCAGTATTAATATGTAATTAAATTATAAGCCTTAAGAAAGTAAATAAAGCTACTATAATATATAGGCAGCGTAAAAGAAAGTAAATTTAGAAGTAGGGCACCCTAATAAAGGCAGAAGGGGAGGAAATTATTGCTTAGAAGGATGTTAAGCAGCAGCTAGACGGCGAAACGCGTTAAGGTAAGGCGCAATTAGGTGCAAGCCGACAGGCTTTAACGTGCTACAGGCGCTGTAGAGAGACTGGGTATAACTCGCGTACCTGTTAGAAAGATGCTATAAGCGCTACTTAATCTATAGTAGTAACTATCTTAAATATATCTTATTGCGTTATTAAGATAGATCGCTTTATATGTCGCGAAAGCTGACGAGGTGGACGGCTCGCTTGCCTGGACGGCTCGCTTGCCAGGTACGTTATACTTATCGCCTTGAATAAAGTGCGAACATTAAATCCACGCAATCTCATTCTCTGGATCGAACGGCCATGTTCGTCTTGGAAGAAGTCATTTCAGATTCCGACTTCGACGCCCTGATACCCCTCTTGTGGCACAGCTACAGTCAACCCCGCATCCCGCTCTTACCGTGTCCGTGCGCGCAACGCCCGGAGTCGCGCAACGCCCGATAATCACCCTACAATAACACACAAAATTGAAGCTGTAGAGCCATATAAAATAGTTATTATAGCAATATATCTTAGTGAAATGCACTATAGATCTATGCGATAATATTCTCTTATATAAATTAATTATATAGAGTCGCTGTTTGGCCGCTGCGGGTAGTATGGGTGCGAGGTGCTGCAGGAGGCTCTGCAGCAACAACACCACGTCGCGCAGCCACTGCACCACGATTCTGCTTCTTTCTTGGTCCTATAGACTGTAAAGCTTTCCGCTTGCCTCTTTAGGGCAATTGTATAGCTTTTGCAGCGTCGCGAGCTTGCTTATCACGCTCTCTTTAAGCCTTGCGTTCAGCTGCTTCCTTAGCCTTCTTAGCTCTGACTTGGTCACGCTCCTTCTTCTCCCTTGCCCGCTGCTTACGCCTCTCCTAAGCAATTTTCTTATTGTATAACTTGTTAGCGTGCCTAAGCTTTGCTATCTCTGCTTTTCTAAGTTCTTCTACCTTCTAGTTCTATTGTTTAGTCCTCTTATTAGACTGTGCTTTCTCTACTCTATAAGGAGAGTAGAACTCAGCCCTACTATAATAGTCCTTGCAAGGCTGGAACTCAAGAGCTTTACTCTTGTTCTTGTGCTTCTTCTAAGTCTTAAGAACCTCTACAAGGCGCTAATTTTCGTAGTAGAGGAGCTGGTTCTAGACTGAGATGTGGTGGAGTAAGCGGCTGATCTTCCTTAGCTCCTTGCTAGTCTTATCCCTAACTACTTTCTGTAATAGAGTCTCTATTTTAAGCTAATCCTTGCTAGAATAGACTAAAGAAGAGCTTGTACTGTTGTTAGAGGCCTTAGGGGTATCCTTAGTAAAGTGTTAAAGGATAACGTTAGGCTGGAGGGGTAATATACCTGTTACCTTAAAGGACCTAAGTATTAACTCCTAAGTAAATGTGCTTATCTAGGCCTTCTAGAACAGGTAGAAAAAGTCGCTCTTCTTAATTACTAATAGTCCCTAGCCGCTGTAAAGGTATATTATAAGCTCCTTTAAGTACGTAGTTAAGAGAGGCTTAAATATTACTTTATTAAGCGGCTATAGCGTGTAGGTTAAATAAGGAGGAAGTATAGCTAGGAGTATCTTGTTCTAATTGTAGTAGTTAATAAAGTCTATTGTTATATAGGAGCCGTGGCCATCAAGGATTAATAGGCAGTACTTTCTTTAAGCTTTAGCCTTAGAGAAGCAATTAAAGACCTATTTAAGCCAAGCAAGGCCTAGCTTATTGTTAGTCCAGCCTATAGGCAATAAGGAAACAAGTACAGAGTGTACCTTTGGCTTAATTTCCTCTACCCAGCGTGATTAGATAGTGCTGTTAGCAGACTCGTAGAGGAGGCTAGGGGGTAGAGCTAATCCATTGCCGCACATACACGCTATAAGCGCTACCCAGGCACAATTACCATCTTAAAGTGATGCCTTGACCTCCTTCTTCTCCTATATACACCTGCTAAATATATGCTTTATTCTTAAGGTAACTCTAATTATAAAGCCCTTCTTATCTATATTATATATATGCGCAGCATTAACCTTATACTTAGCAATTTTACGCTATAGTAAGTTAAAGTACAGCTTATACTTGCTATAGGAATTGGCGTTATAGCAATTAGCATCTATACCTGTTGAGTATTAAGAGATAAGTTAGATAGAGTATTTGTCGATAAAGCGCGTAACCTAGCTCTTGCTTACTGGCTCCTGGGTAACTGCTAACGCGAAATTGGCGATTATCTCTCTTGTAGGAGGTATATGACGAGTAGTGAGCTCCTCTATATACTTTACAAGCTCCTTCTCTTATTATTAGGTGAGCTTCTGCTGGCTGGAGTCTTTACTTTCCCGGGGTGCCTAAACACTCTTATATCTCCGCGCTAAAGTTAAGCGATTAATACTAAATTTATTAGCGATTCTCTAATAGACAAGTTTCTCTCCTGGCTCTAGCGCTTCGATTGCTGCAAGCGCATCGTCAATAGGTGCTATAGCTGTTGAATTATTACGCGTTGAAGTGTGGGTGCTGTTTATGGAGATCGGGCGTTGCGCGACTCCGGGCGTTGCGCGCACGGACACGGTACCCCTGCTATTTCCGGTTGACGAGGAAAATGTAAGTGTCGCGATCTTAATGACCAACCATATACATCACGCTAATCATGCCTTCTTTCCAAACGGCCGCATGGTCGCGAGCGCGCAATACGAAATTCCAAAAATCTCTTTCTACAAGCGCATCATGCAGATCCAACCGGCCACTGGCTGAAGGTCACGAACACCGAAACTGGCGAGATTGTTGGGGGTTGCCGCTGGCATATCCACAAGACCAATCCGTATCACCAACATGAGGATGACGGGAAGCAAGTAGATGCAGCCACCCAGAAGCCGTACGAGGCGCCGACATACGAGGAGAGCATGGAGAAGGAATTCGCTTCGCTTATCTTAGGTCAAGTATTAAACCCTAGAGCGAGACGGTATGTGAGACCTCATACTCGTGAGTCTTCCTGGCGAGGCAACGTGCATTCAGACTTTGCTAACAATCTCTTCGATCTGCACATATGCTTCGTGCACCCTTCTTACCGAAACAGAGGCATAGGCAGGACGTTGGCAGCGTGGGGTGTGGAAAAAGCGGATGATATGCGGGTAGAATCGTTCCTGGAAGCAACGGACATGGGAAGAGAACTCTATCAGAAACTTGGGTTTGTTGTAGTGTCGATAGAGGAAGCGGATGCGAGTCGTCAAGGGCTAGACGAGGAGTGGGAAGAGTTGCGAAGGAAGTTTCTTCCGTATCATTGGTAAGTGGGAATGCATCGCATATTGGAAGATGTATATACTGACCTACCTAGGCATTGTATGTGGAGGCCGGTTGCAGGAGTCTTCGAGCAGGGAGTTACGAAGTTGCCTTGGTGATGATAACTGAATAATGGTGATTACTGGAGGCAGATGAATGCAGTTTGGGCTGTGGGTTGAGTTACAGACTGCTTTCAAACCGAACAAAACGAAAAGCCTATAGGAACTGGAACCTAAGAGTTGTTAAAAGTACCATCGGGGTGTCAAGTGATTGTCCGGCTTAACGCAAGTCATAATTACGCTAAGAACAATAAGCAGCCTTTGCATTACACTGTTAGTGTATGTCTAAAATTAGTTGCCTATTGCACCGTACCGGAAGATCACTTGCTACTCTGGTGGTATTTATGTCTTGGTTGCGCTAATGTACGTCATTGCCGATCTCGCTGCCCCACCCGCGTGCACCGTCCATGTCAGATCTTGGAGATTTAGTCCGTCTCGTGTCATTTTGTCTCCTAGCAAGCTACCGATCTGCTGCTGGACTTTCGTTCATGGTCATGGCTGAAGAGAATGACGAGAGCTATCCCCGCCCCGACTTTGTCCATCCGAAACTCAACTGGACCTCGTTGAACGGACCATGGGACTTCCTCTTCGACGATGAAGACACCGGCCACCTCTCAAAGTGGCACGTCAACGGTCTCCCAAATGAAGTTGTAGTAGAGCGCTCAAACCCTTCCGAAGCGACTGAAAACGAGAGCGAAAGCATTGTAGCCAAAATCGCTGGTGGTACCTCAGCCTTTATACCTGGCAACTTGTCCCAACGCGATCGGAACGCTACGACGCATCGGAAACGAAAAATTGAAGTTCCATATGTTTTCCAATCCCCGGCATCTGGTATCAACGAGCGAGGTGTGCACGAAGTCTTGTGGTACGAGCGAAGTTTCGCCGATCTTAGAAGTAATGATGAAAAGAGCAAGGGTCACCGTCTCGTCATTCGGTTTGGTGCAGTGGACTATGAGGCGAAAGTCTGGGTGAATGGCCAATTCGTGGGAGGTCATCGTGGGGGACATGTCCCCTTTGACTTGGACCTCAGCGACGCTGTCGAGGCAAATGCTGGTATTGAACATCGACTTACTCTGCGAGTGTACGATTCAGCCTACAACTTGACTCAGCCCCGCGGCAAACAGTATTGGGGAGCAAAGCCGGAGAGCATCTTCTACACACCTTCGAGCGGCATCTGGCAAAACGTTTGGCTTGAAAGCCTGCCGCCAGCCCGCATTGCAGACAGCAGTCATGGCACGATCATCCGCGGCAACGACATCGCGAGCGGAGATCTGCAAGCAACAGTAGCTGTCCTGGGTCGTCGTGCAGGTCAGACCTATTCCATCGAAATCGAATCTAGCCTCTCCGGCATCACGATATCGAAGTCCGATCGCAAACAACTGCCAAAGGAAACAAATTCTGTAAGCACGAGTCTAAATTTACGCCTTACTGACGATCAATTTTTCGATCTCGCGTCCCGCTCAGGTAGAATGGTCGGCTTTGCCAATAATGTTGCTTTATGGTCACCTACCCATCCGCACCTATACGATCTGACGATACGCCTCTTCGACTCGTCAAACACTCTCATAGACACGGTGCATACATACACGGGCGTACGATCCCTGAACTACAACGCCGGTGATGGAACCTTCCACCTGAACAACAAGCCGATCTTCCAAGCCTTGTGTCTCGACCAGGGCTATTGGCCCTCCACTTTCATGACCCCACCACATCCATTCTCAGCCTCTCTGAAGCGCGACATCGAGCTTTCCAAAGCGCTCGGCTTTAACGGGTGTCGAAAGCATCAAAAGGTCGAAGATCCAGTGTTCCTCTACTGGGCCGACAAACTCGGTTACCTAGTGTGGGGTGAAATGGCGAACGGATATCAATTCAGTGATCAGTATGTCGAGCGCTTCGATCAAGAGTGGATGGAAGCTGTGAGACGAGACATCAATCATCCCAGTGTGATAGCATGGACGCCGGTGAATGAGAGCTGGGGGTACTCGGATCTGGATAAGAATGTTGAGCAGCGAAGACATATACGCTCATTGTATTACCTGACGAAGTGCGTCTTCTTGTCTTCGTATGCTGTTTTAATACCAATCAGGATCCCTTTCATTTCCCTCCTTGGGCTATCATCTATTGCTTTCCCACCCCACCCTTCTCACCTCCCCCTCCCCTCTAACAAAGACCCAGAACCCTCGACCCAACGCGCCCAATAAACGACAACTGCGGCTGGCAACACGTCACCACCGACCTAACAACTTTCCACGACTACTCCGACAGCCCCCAGCTAACCGACACCTGCTCATCGCTGTCCTCCATCCTCTCCGCAAAAGCAAACCGCCCCATGTTCCTCCCGCCAATCCCCGATCACGACCCCGGCAGCCAACACAAAAACGGCGCACCGGTGCTCTGCACGGAGTTTGGAGGTGTTAATATTGCTCCTGCTGCTTCTACCAAGAACAAAAGGAATGGGGATGGGGAGGGTCGAGAAGAGTCTGAGCAGTGGGGCTACACGACCGCAGCAAATGCCGACGACCTGCTCGACCGAGTCAAGAAGTTGGTTGATGCGATCGTCGACGGCGGACACTGCTGTGGCTTTGTCTGGACGCAGTTAGCTGATATCGAGCAGGAGACGAATGGGTTGTACACGCTTGATCGCGTGCCGAAGCTGGATGTTGGGAACGTGAAGAAGGTGATGGAGGGTGCGGTCGAGAGGTATTATAAGAGATTGGAGAAGGAGGGCAGGATGTGAGGGGGTGGGGTGGGCATGGAGTGTTGAATCATGTGGGGACGATGATGGTGAGATTGGAAGATTTGAATGAAGATGAGGAGAGAAGACCCGGGTCTGCAATACAATGTGCTACCTCGCGAGCTCCAAGAATATTGTTTAAGAGCAGCGATGACAGGGCGGGAATAGCTTGGATGCTCGGAAGAGAAGCACATTGTAAGAATGCTTTCGAATATCTGCTATCTATTTCATGTCCAATGACATACCTCCTCTACAAACATTGAGCTAGTCATGTTCATGCTAACCTCTGGATACTGACCTCAAACCAAACACCTCGTCGTGATCCAAACCTTTCGAACAACACTCATCATTTGCTAGCCGTGGGTACCCAATCTCCACCAGTCAATGTAGATATCCATAATAGCCTCCAAAGTTAAGTCAAACAAAAACAGGACTACCAGTCATACTTCGTCTATCTACACCGCTTCGCATACTCGCCGGACTACCCGCACCGCTCGGTGCCTCCCGTTCCCTGATAAATCGCTCTGCCATCCGCTGGCCTGGCGTAACACTCCCGCTTCTCCTGAGTAATGCATCGATATGTCGATCGTCTGAGCCAGGGCTCGGTTCCTTGTTCAGCGCGAGCGTGCTCGATGACTGTTTGAGGTGCAATGCCGGTCGTCTCATCCAATCCGCAGGACTGGTATCCATTCCCGCAAGCCGCGGAGGAGGACTTGGCGAAGGCGAGCTACTGGCACCCCAAGGCGACTCTAAGAGCATGCGTAGGGTGTTACCTTCGAGTGCGGGCCCAGTGACAGGTTTGCGCGAGATGGATGGAGATGGGGCGTGACATGATTCTCTCTTCTTGGGACTGTCGCTTCTGGGCATGTTCGGCGTGGCTGGAACAAGGGGCGGAACATTCGAGCTGCGAAGATCGAAAGCGCTTTTGGGTCTTGTCGTTAATTTGCCCTGGCTCAGGGGTCGTACTCTCAGGCGAATTCTGGGGAGAGGCGGTTCGGGCTTGTCGACATTGGTTTGCTCCTGATCTGTAGAGGAAGTATACAGGGCTAGGATGGAAGAGGTTCGATCTGGTCCAAGGTTTGATGGCCCCAGAAACGATCGCGGTCTACTCAGTTCCTTCGAAGTGCCAGATACATGGCTCAATCTTTCAGTCTGCAATTGCTCCTTTGAGGAACCAGCAACGCCACTAATCCTCTCCGCAAAGGAGGGCGGCGAACTCTGACGTCTG